CAGAGCAACCGAGAGAGAGGAAGAAAATAGTTAACCAGCACTTAGTTTTGATGAAGATGAAAACAATCCGTCACATGAGGATGAGAGAGTGAGGGGAAACTACTGGTGTGTATGCGGCTACTGCTTTTCAATGGCAACCGCGACTAAGCATTTGTTGTAAAGCACCTAAACTTTTTAAGCCGTATGTTAATCCAGATGTTCTTTGGGGAGCCCTTGTTAGCCTCCATGACCGGTATTCGGTCTTTAAGTAATAACGTGATGAATCGTGCTTCCGGGCCCAAAGTATTCTGCATTTAATAAGACTGTTGTGTTTTTAACATGTTTTAATGCTTTGTATCTTGTTCTGTTTAATCTCAACAAGCTCTCTTTACAAATACAGACAATTTACCATCTCTAGTATTGATGTAAAACCCCCCTTGGTTACAAAGACAAGGCACTATGTATGTCTATGTGTAAGAACGTGTGTGTGTGTGTGTGATGCGGGTGCGTTTGTGTGACCTCCTGCTCACCAAAAGGATCATAAAAGCAGGAAGCAACATCAAACAGAATCTTTACAAGGGATGTGTCTGTGATAAAACACTACAGCCTCCTCCCAGAACCTCGAGAGGCTGGGGAGGGGGACAAAGGAATGTCTTGATCCTATAGTTTGAACTAAGACTTTACAAATTTAAGAACTACAATGACAACATTCAACAATTAGACTTAACAAAGTTACAAGTCGTAGAACATTTTTTCAAGTCTAAAGTCAAAATATTATTGACTTTTCGTCGCACATTTTGTTGCACTTAAATGTTTCAGATCATCAAACAAATTTAAATGTTAGACAAAGATAAGCTGAGTAAATGCAAAACGCAGTTCGTAAACGATGAGTTCATTTATTAAGGGAGAAAAGTTATCCAAGCCTGCCTGGTGCTGTGTGAAAAAGGAATTGCCCCCTTGTTAAATAACGAATTAACTGATTAATCACATCTTTTTGCAGGCTGAGTCAGGAAATCACTTTAATAGAACCTTTCTGACAAAGCGAAGCCGGCTAAGAGATCCCAAAAACCAACACATCATTCCACAATGTAAAGAAAAACATGAGAAACAAAGTCATTGACATCTATCAGTCTTGAAAGGGTTACAAAGCCACATCTAAGGCTTTGGGACTCCACTGAAACACAGTGAGAGCCAAATGATGCACAAATGGAGAAAACTTGGAACAATGGTGAACCTTCCCAGGAGTGACCGAATGAAATTACAAAATTACTCCCGAGAGCACAGTGACAACTCATCCAGGAGGTCACAAAATACTCTAGAACAACATCCAAAGAACTCCAGGCCTCACTTGCCTCAATTAAGGTCAAAGTTCATGACTCCACTATAAGAGACTGGGCAAAAATGGCATCCATGGCAGAGTTATGAGGTGAAAACCACTGCTGAGTAAAAGTAACATAAAATCTTGTCTCAGGTTTGCCAAAGGAAAGTCTCAATGATCTCCAAGACATTGGGAAAATATTCCGTGGACTGACAAGGCAAAAGGGAAACTTTTTGGAGGCATGTGTCTCTTTACATTTGGTGTAAAAGTAACAACAATTCTGAACAGGAACATCATTTTCACAGTAAAATATGGTGAGGGCAGTGTTGGTGGACTGGGGCTGTTTTGCTGCCTCACACCTGCAAGGCTTGTTGTGGTAAATTGAATCATGAATTCTGCTGTCTACAAAAACATCCTGAAGGAGAATATCCGACTAGAGCAGGGCGATATGGCCAAAAATATTTCTCACAATATATATTTGAAAATTTGCGATAACGATATAACTGACGATATAATTTCTGCGAGACAAAATACAACTCCACAACTTTACTAGTGCTGAAAGTTTAACCAAAGGCATTTCCAGTAGAAATGGGCTGACATATCCTGAGCATAACCATGTTTAATGATATCCACTGAAGTTAAAAAGAGGTGCTTTGCTACATTAAACTGCAGTGTGCCAAATAAAAAAGTCAAATATGTATTTTTTGGACCATAAGGTGCACGGGATTATAAGACACATTAAGCAAAACAAAGCAGTCAGATAAATCAAACTTTATTCAACTCATTCTTCTTGCTTCCTCCACTTCTGTACCATTGATTCATTAATGCTGTATTCTATCACAGCTGCTCTATTCCCATGTTGTTGCAGTATATTAATGACTAACCTGGTATTGTGGATGGATTATTTCAGTTGTTCTCCTGACTGAAGTTTGGTCCGTTTACAGCATCCTGCCATGTGATTGTATTTGTCTCTAACCATCAGGAACCTTCACGTTAACTTTTATCGAGTGGAAAAGTGTTAGCGTTCATCCTCCAGCTGTTTATGTTATGCTAACATAGCTGTGTCGCTAGCGATCACGTAGCACATCATTATAAACCAGCTAGTCCAACTTCAGTAACCTTACAAACGTCACTGCTGTTTAGTTACCGGTCTTCATTTATGTTAGAAGTGATAGCAGAGCTATACGTTTGAATTTTTTCAGAACTCTCTCAGTCAGAACATGCTATATCATGCTTAGGTAACTAGCAAGCTAACTTCCTGCTAGCTTCTAACTCCGTTAAGTGTAATAAATTCTGTTTTCATGGATGCCTGGATGTTAAACTTCATAGTTACACCTGGTAAAGCAGCAATGCTGATGATTTTATTAAAGATGAAAGAATTTAGACAGTTTTTAACTCTCAGGGATGCTGCAGTGTTCGTTTGACTTTGGGACCTGAAGTGGACGGAGTTTAAGACCCAGATTTACGGGCGCCTTATACGGCAATAACGACGGCCCGCTTGCATGTTCTACAGAAAAAAAAAGTGCTTTGTTATGTATCTGATGGACAAACACCAAACCAGTTCCACATCACTGAAGTGGCACCATTTTTACAAACTAATACTGGTTCATCCATTTCACTCAACAATCCGCTTTTTCCCTTCTCATTCTCTGTTGCCTCCATGCTTTTTCGGCCATGTGCATATGAAAACAAAGGCACTGCGCATGCGCGTTTCACCCATATTGTATCGCGATATTTCATTTTCTTATCGTTGCTTAACATTGTACCGGTATTACCGTGAACGGTATAATATGGCCCGGCCCTATATCCGACCATTTATTAGAGACTGAAGGGCACTAGGATTCTGCAGCAGAATAATATTCCAAAACACACCAGCAAGTTCACCTTAAGAAAAACAAAATGAAGACTTCGCTGTGGCGTGACCGTAAAAAGCCGGTTTTTCGAAAACCCTCTAATTAATGAATTACAACAGTTCTGCAAAGTTCAGTGGGCCAAATTCTCACTATGTAGAGACCTGTTTATGGTTCAGATCAAAATATATTTTCTCTGGTGATTGTTGTTTTAGAAAAAACATTTTTTCCATTTCTCTTTTCAGACGTCCAACAACTACATGTCTGTGAGGAGGCGGAGGAGGAGGAGGAGCCACTCGCAAACCAGCCAATCTATAGCGAGGTGAGGAGCTCCAGTGTAGACCAGGAGGACCCAGACCCTCCACAGATTAATGAGGAACAGGAGGATCTCTGCAGCAGTCAGAAGAGAGAGCAGCTGGGAGTGAAGCTGGAGCCTGATACCTTCATGGTGACTCCTGCTTATGAGGAAAGTGACCACAGTGAAGCAGAACCAAACAGTGAACAAATCTCTCACAGCTCTGCTGAGAGCGAAGATCAGGAAGAAAGCCACCATGTGGACTTGGGGTCACCTGAAAATGCAGAGGTGAAGAAAAGGAGACATTGCAGAAAGAAAAGTGATAGTAAGAGAGTAAAAAAGGCTGCTGTGTCAGAGAGTCAGGGTCAAAGTGGGACAAGAAAAAAGACTGAACAATGTGACATATGTGGAAAAGCTTTTCTGTTTAAGTCACGCCTGATTGCACATGTTAGAGTTCACACAGGTGAGAAGCCTTATTTGTGTAGCACCTGTGGGAAAGTATTCAATTACAAGTCAAAATTGGTTGTTCACACAAGGGTTCACACAGGTGAGAAACCATATTCTTGTAGCATCTGTGGTAAAACGTTTCTCCTTAGATCCCTTCTGACTACACATTTTAGAGTTCACACAGGTGAGAAGCCATATTCCTGTAGCACCTGTGGGAAAATGTTCGCTTCCAACTCAAAAATGAATGCTCACAGAAGGGTTCACACAAGTGAGAAGCCATATCCTTGTATGACATGCGGAAAAACTTTTAAGAGTACAAGCAACCTGAAAATACATGTCAGAATTCACACGGGTGAGAAACCTTATCCTTGTATCACCTGTGGGAAAGAATTTAGTCAATGGATTAACATGAATCGTCACATGAGGTGTCACACAGGTGAGAAGCCATATAGTTGCAGCACTTGTGGAAAAAGTTTCCCTCATCAATCAGGATTGAAAGCTCATACAAATTCACACAAGGGAATGAAGGCTGTAGAATCTGTGGAAAAGGATTTTGTTAATGAGATACGATAATTGATATTGCTTAAAAGTGTTATATTTAGAAAATGTGGGACAGAGTCATAGCAGTGTGTTGGTAGTAGAGCTCACACTGACCAGGAGTCAAATCATTACAACACCTGAGTGAAAAGATGACCAATATTTAAATCAGCATTTTCTGTCCAGAGCAGTAAAAACGCTCAGCATTCTTTATTCAGTTCATTACATTATTCTTATAATTGTATCAGGGAAGCCCTGATCTTACATTTAATGATAGTTAAAATTCAGTGTGCTCCTTTTCTTCCAGATCATTGTTTGGTTCTTTTGTTTATCAACGTGTGTTAAATTTTAAATAAATATTTAATTCATTAAAATAACTTATTTTTGAAGGGCAATCGCTAACATATGTAAGCAGCATAAAAGACAGTTCTGTCTCATTTCAGAGTTTTTCTTTGTTTTGTTGTTTTTTAAAGAGATGTACAAACAGATGTTGTTTTATTTTTGTTTTTTTTTAAATTTAGAGAACATGCAGCACAAAAGTGATTCAATTAGTGTTTGTTTATTTGTGTGTTGTAACAATGCTTTTTGATAATAAATCCTATACTATTGCAAAGCCTGTTTCTTTCCCTTTAAATGGAGCCACATTTATAAGGAAAATGTATTTGTGGGTTGAGCATCAGAGTATGTAGATTGCATCCATGACAAACCGCTTGTTCTGCTATTGTTTCTTGTGAGCTTCCAGTAAACCAGGTGCTGAAAATCAGGTGGCTGATTGGCTCCTGATTAGCATGACCCTGATACAGCAGTCCGTGGGTATCTGCTCTAAGCATGCCACATTTAAAAGATTTAGATAGGGTCCATGCTATACGGCTGTTTCAACTTGGTATTCCACAAAACCAAGATTCAGCATTATTTGGAGTGAGACAAAGTACCATCTCCAAACTGAAGACCAAGTTACATAGAATGGGAATGTCATAGATAATTTGCGACGTGTATGTCACAGGAAGACCGTTTCCTCACCTCATCAGCACTGAGGATCTGTAGGAAGTCTTCTTCAGATTTGCAGTCAAGCGTTTCAGGATGATATGGCTGATAGCCCTCTAACAATTTTGGAACAGACTGGACACAGTCAGTCTTTTGTCGTTTTACTAGTCCCCCCTAGGGCCCCCATTCGGACCAGGGCCCAGTTCAGCAGCGCCGCACGGCCCCACAGAGCCCGGGGCAGCCCACCCGACCCCACCACAGAGAAAACTGCACCTACCCCGTCATCCACTCATCTTTCAGACTACACAAGACAATAGACACCCAGGCTGAGTTCTTCCTCGACCTCTCTTATATCTCTCCCCACCTGCAGAGTCAGTTCCTGGAGAGAGGAGAGCTCCTGCGAGATGTAATAGCCTCCCCCCTCCAGTTGAAGAGCCCCCCAGGTGGCTTGATGCACCGGTGGCACACTGCGCCAGGGTTGAGCCCCCATACACCCACCCGCCCACAACCCCGGCGACACACCAACCAGGACCCAAGGCCCAGCCAGGGCCCCAGCCCGGAGACGGAGCACCCCCAGAACCTCACGCCCGTCCCGGACCCACCCAGGGACAGCCAGGCTACCAAGTCAGTAACCCACGTCTGTCAGCACAGACCCTCCCCTAGCCCTGCTGCACGCAGCCACGAGGAAACTGTCACCTAAGAGCCAACAGAGCCCTTAACAGGCCATGACCGCTACCCCGGGTTGAGCCCCCCAAGGAAGAAGCTCCTGGGGAACCCCCTGACGCCCTAAGCCTGTCCCTGCCCCCACACCAATCACAACAGCGAAGGTGGGACCAAACTATGACCCCCCACCCCCACTAGGTGATGGAGCTGATCAAAGGAGCCCAGAGCAATTGATCTGATCTGGTGGCAGAGGCTGTATCAAGACTAATGTAATTTAATAGATAATTTCTATATTGGTTGGAATTAAGATTATTTTTATTTTTCCAGTTCATGAGGACTGTTTTCTTGGCTATGCATAGGGCAGTGAAAACCATATGGGCTATATTCTTTTCTGTAGTGACATAATCTGATCTGCCCAACAAACACACTAAAGGGGAAGTTGGAAGTTACATTTCAGACACTTTGATAAGTCTTCACATATCTCGCGCCAAAACTTCTGAACTGGTGGACAGAACCAAAGAGCGTGGATATAATTGTCCGGTGAATTGGTTTGGCAGTGTGAGCAGTTGTTGGTAGACGTAAAGCCCATCTTGAACATCCGATGACCTGTATAGTGCACTCTATGTAGTATTTTGTATTGAATTAATTGAAGACTTTCTAATTAAATGAAAGGTTTTTATCTGAGACCAGAAGTTTTGGTCTAAGTTAACTGATAAATCCGCTTCCCATTTTGCAATAGGAAGTGATATTGATTCATTTGTTTTAGAAAACATTCTGTATATTTTGGAAAGTAATTTTGGGGTTTTAAGAGTAAGAAATTGTACCACACTTGATGGTGTTTGTAGTTCAGCTTGACCAGGTTTAAATGTCTTTTTTACTATGGATTTAATTTGTTGATTAGAACTACCTAACTTTCAGCACTACTTCTCAGCCAACAGGCTTCAGTTTATCTCAGGATGGCTAAGACATACC